CTCCAACCCAGCCGGTGAATGCGTGCTAGTGATTCCATCTAAAATTTCATAGCAATACCATGTCTATCAGTTAACAGCGGCAGTGGATGAGAACGTTGTGTGATACTCACCAATCTACGAGTTAATACAACATGCAGAAGCGCACACTAGCATCATTCACACGATACAGTGCGCTCAGTGCTAGCTGTATGCAAGAGATCCACTGAATACTGCCCATGGCAAACCACCGCACACTAATATAAATTTAAGAGAAATCTTGAATAACCTCTGAAAAGCTTGTGACTAACTGGAAAGAAGCAATTCACAAATGCACAAAAAAAAAAAACCGCGTTGGCAGCACCAACGAACTGTGTAGCTTTACGAAGCACTAATTTAGAACAATACCCAAAAAGGCTGCGTGTATGTACCAAGAAGTAAACCCTTGTATTCCGTTGAACTCCGTACACTGATTTTGCTAGCAAAAAAGTAAACGACAAAAGCCCAAAAGGGAGGGGAATATCTGAAATGTTCATCTGCAATACTTATGTGAAAATCGTCTCCAAAATACAGTTAAAAGATTCACGGGAAATCTGGAATTAAATCATGTACAAATAGAGCCCCTTTAGCAATGCTAAAATGTAGGAGTGAAAATACAGTGATTACAGCATTACGCCGATGAATAAAAATTCATTCGGCGAATTTGCGGAAGCACACTGTAAACATCTGGATCAATAAGACGAAGCTGATGCAACTTCTACTGCCTCAGATGCACACAGTATTTCGATTTCAGTAACGAAGTGAGTAAAAAACCTTCAACATTCTGTGTTTTTGTTGAGAGTATCGATTCGCGTTGCTGTTGCTGCTGCTGCTGTTTAGTCTCACTTCCTGAAAAACAACATTTTAAAACAACAAACTGGAAAGCAACGACAAATCTAAGAATGTACAAATGCACCGAAGTGAGCGCAAACCTTCACACATAACTGGATGTGTCCATTACTGTTCAGTGCAATCAATTAGTGCACTCATACGTATCACGCCATGTCTGGACGGCAAACGGGACGAGCAAGACGCAAGAAAACATTCGTTAGCACACAACTGTGTACGTACCACACCACAGGTGCACAGGTAAACACATACACACACACACACACACACACACATCCATTCTTTTGCCAGAAATACCATCGAAAAAAAAAACTGGATTGCATTAACGAGCAATAGGAGCAATAAAACGTCTGCGACTATTCAAATAAAAAAACGCTTCACTTTTCGATAGAGCGGTGGTCTGTCGAGTTACGGCACTATCGCCCACTGCGCTAGTTCGCTTCGATACCGCTGCTAACTTCACTTCCTTCTGACTCTGCTTTCTTTTGAGTTTCTGACTCTGCTTTCTTTTGAGTTTCT